ATTAATTATTATTAATGGCATTTTCATTAATTAACTCATATCTCCGTCAAAAAGGCGCATGGGCCCAAACCAACTTGGGGTTTTTCATTGCTGACTATTCCCTACATGATGAAAATAGTCTGAGTCGAAAAGCTTTTAATCACCACGAGAGGTTCCCTCGTAAGTGTAACTGTACGAGTTTTCTTTAGTCATATAAGAAAAGAAATTTAAAATAATTAATTGCTAATGGCGCTCATTGGATTTCCATTACTTCCTGAAAAATTCTGTATTATTCATCAAAATGGTTGAATAAAGGCTGCTTATTTTTTACACAGAAAGTGTCAGAACTATTTTGTGTTTGACAAAATGTCAAGAATCTTTACATTCATTTGTTCGGAAACTGACTGTAATCGAGTTTGACTGATTGTAAAGCACTTATAATTTGCGCTCTCTGTAATAATAAATTTTGTTGATGTTGAAACAACTTTACCCAGGTCCATGATTACGACTGTCGTATACTGTCGTGTACGATATTGGATACGACATATAATCCGCCGTGATGGATAATCAAAATAGAAAACACCCGTGTAATATATCGATGTTTCTATTTTAACTGCTTTATCAAGTAGACGAATATGTTATTACGCAGTCTGTTCCCTACCAATATAATATTTTATAGTTTTGTGCAGAACGCCTATGAGACTGAATTTTTATAACAGGCAGCAATACAATAGAAACATGTTCATCGATGTTTACATTTGTACTTTTTGAAGTATGAGAAATGCTACTTTGAACAGCGGTCTATATTCCAGTTTAAAAAGCTTTTTACGAAATCTTATCGAGACATTGGAACAACAACATATAAGTAAAAAATAAATCATTAACTGGAATTCCAGCAGAAACTAACGATGTCTGGCACAGAGAGAAAGCTTTTCTGAGTAATTAAATAACTATTTTTTCATTTTCTATCAATTTTTGCCATTATAACAAATTTTTAAAATATTTATTAACAAAATCGAGAGAGAGAGGGCAGACAAAAAAACTACATATAAATTTGTTAATCAAAAATATAAAAATTTAAATCGCTATATGCACAATGCACAAGAAAAAACGAAATATCTATTTTGATATCAGACAAAAATGTAACAATAATACTATCAGGTCTATCGATATACGCATGATTTCGGTCGTAATTCAATTTTTTCTTCTAATTCATTCAAACTTACTGTGTTTTTATTTCTAAACAGAATGAAAAAAATGAGTATTAAAAGCCGATGTGGTTCATAATACAGTTTATTTGGCTAAACCCTCATGCTTATTCCATGGGAAGAAGACTACAATTTTAAAGACATAGAAGATTACAGCACAAAAGCATAGGAACTTATAGTTGAGTAATTAATTCTCATCTGTCTAACGAAATATTATCTTTCATGTACTTTTCAATATCTATAACACTTTTAACGCACACTTAGCGTCGATAAGTCATCGTATGAGAAAATAAGTCCAAAACTTTACCTGAGTAGTAATAAGTACAGACAAAGAAAATTGTAAATGAGATCGAGTTCACAAAGCAATAAAATAGCATATCATTCTATAAAAAATTTTTTAGGATTTTTCTGCATCCTAAAGAATCTATTTATTATTATCATACATTAAACCCTACTAAAAGCTTTTGCCACTGTCTTTTGTGTTCTGTATCCAACAATTAAGGAAGGCTGAGAAATTTAAGATCGTTATTAACGTTTAAAACATACCTACGTCATTGTCTTCAGATGAAGATGAAACTGATTCTATTTCCCAGTCATCAATATATGCATAATAATTATCTGAAAAAAATGAAGAAATCAAGAAAAATAATACAATCAGAATGACTAATTCAATTGTGCTGAAGATACCCGATTTTTTATTGATAACTGAACGTTTTCGAGCAACTTTTGAATTGTTTCTCAGTTGTTTCTGCAGATATTTTTGTAATTTATTAAGACGTTCTTCTAACTGATCTGTGTATTCGTAAAGGAGTTCTGAAATATTCAAATATTATGCGATAGACGATAGAAACCGATAAACTTCTTCCCTCGTCGATAACACTTACCAATATCATTTCTCGCCACGTAATCTTTGCACTCAGTTGAGTTTTTCTTTGCAATATTTGTCATGTGAGTTTAAGCAAGCGATACAAATAAACAAAAAAAACAAAAAAATAGAGCAGTTGAATAGAAAACATTTGCTTGCGAAAAGAGAAACAAAATTCATTATGAACTACAGCATTATTTTGTAAATAATCAGAATTAAAAAAACGGTTTTACTGCTTTTTCAAAATCAACGATCGCTTTTCCTTTCTGATTGGTCACATAACTTAGAAAGTCAACTGAGTGGATGGTACATCAATTACGAAAAAATAAATAAAAGTTAGATAACACAACAAGGAACAGATCTAGTAGCAATCCCGTTCTGCAGCAAGGAGTTTAGTGCTAGATTTAGTAAAAACATCTTTTGATACATTTTTCAACAATAGATAGAGCTCATACTGAATGGAAACTACTTCTCTAGCTCGCTCTCACTTTGATAATCGTAACGGAAATTATATTCTTTGATTCAAGTCGACTTGAACAAAGGAGTTTTATTTACTTAAATCCTTTTTCTCACTTACAAGCTCTTGTCCAAGTTGACACAAGTTAATTTTGATTATAATCATCAGAATGAGAGCGAGTCAGAAAAGTAGTTTCCATTCAGTGTGAGCTTTATGTATTATTGAAAATATATCAAAAGATGTTTTTACCAAATCTAGCAATAAACTTCTTGCTATCCTCGGATCTATCAATATATATAGCATCGGCACCTACGCTGCGGCATGTTTAAGACACGATGCCTAAAATATAAAATTGAGATGGCATATCCTTGGAAATATTTTTGTTACCATGCCAAGTTGAGCTAGAGTGAGAGCGTAGAAGTTGGACGCTATGAGTTTCAGGATTTAATCATCGCAACTTTGCGGAAGATAGAGGATTACTGCATATGAAGACCCTTATTCCGAAGATTAAATATTAAGAGAAATTTGCAATGAACTATTAGCGTATTGCACGATTGTATATGATAGGGTCCTGGGGGTCGTATGACGAAAAAACTTAAGTCTGAGTTTAAGACCGACTTAAGCCCGTGGACTTAAACCGTATCACGAAAAAGACTTAAGTTGACGATTTGTTTACTTTTTAAAAGTCGTTGACAACAGTGACGAACTTCGGATAAAACCCCGCAAAATAACGAAATATTTATTTTCTAATCCTTAGAATGTCGTTTTCGTCGAATCGTATCGTTAAATACCTGATCTATTCAAAAAATGTGTCAGTGACTCAAGTCCGACTTAAGTTTCCGCTCTAATTATGATTAAAAAAGTATGCGGTCACACTACAAAATCGTTAATCATGATTAATTTTAATCGTGATTAAGGCTGTAGTATGATCGTGATTTTATATAAGAAAAATCAAAACATCCAAGTATATCCCGCCAAACATACCGTCTCTCCCATTGGTCGAATCTCACCATAATGAAAAATGTAAGAACTCTACTGAGTTGATGTAAGTATTTATTATTTACTTAGGATAGTTTAATACTTGATTTTAGTTATGCAGAAGTTTTCACGATACATAAAACTTTTCGCAATGTGCAAGTAACATTTTTTATTAGGGCTATTTGAGTCCTTTGTTTAGGCGCCTTGAAGAAAGAGCATTACGATATGTCTGTTGTGTTTAAACTACCTGTTCTATCACACTGTGTATACGGACAGAAAGTAAGCTCGGAAAGAACGTTGTTGTGAATCCTAGAAAGTTGGATCATGGAAGTTATATCACAAAAAAAGCTTAAATTATTCTTCATCTAAGTTTAAGTCATACTTAAGTAACGTGTATCTATTAAAGAGAAGTGAAACTAATATAAATATCTTTTTATCGCGATAATCCGGTGTTGATAGACACAGAAGCAATAAGCGTACGAAGAAGATCGGATTTTAGGAGTGAAGTGTATAGATTTTATCCCAGCAGTATCATGAAATTCAATTGTTTACACGTTGTAACTGTCAAAAAAAACGAAATTTCTAAAGGTTCTTAAGACCACAAAAACTTTCTTCAATGATTGCGTGGAGCCATCCGTAAAACGATGCTTGTGTGCTTATTTGAATCCACAACTGAAAAAAGGATATAAATGATTCTTTATTATAATTATTCATATCATTTCTGCAATACGCTCCAAATTATTTCATATTAAAGTGTCTTTCTCTGTTTTATTATAAATTTGTTTTCTTCAGAATAAAGATGGCAAAACGCGTCCTTCAACCTACGTCAACAACAGTTAATTTATGTACTCCTCAGTCACTGATGGATATTGAAACATCTGTACGAAATGAATTAGAACGTTATTTACAATTAACAATTGAACATGAATTGTTTACATTTGTTAAAAGTGTCTCATTGAATTCGTCGGTCAATGATTGCTCAAAATTATTAACAAAACCAATGTGTTTACTGTATTTACAAACAAATGAAACAGAAGAAAACGACGAGAACGATGCTTCGAGTGAACGGAAACGTGAAGAAACAATATCTGATGCAAATGCAGCAAAAACACGTATGAAATTAACCATAGGATTAGATCAACAAATAACAAAAATAAAAACAAAATATATGATGGTAAGAAGAGTTTATAGTCTCTTTTTTTATACCCAAGCATGAAAGCTCAAGCCTCGGTGCTGTGACTAGTTTTTATATAAAAGTTTGCTAATTTCTTTTACGTTCATCCGCTATTGTATACGTTCTATGAATATAGACTTTTGATCGTGATTGCCAATCATTTCTATTTACTTAACTTCAAATACGTTTGATATTTTAGAAGTTAACAAAAACAATTTCAGTTCATGATAGTCTACGTTTCATTTTAAATAAATTAAAGTCGGATAATAATAAAAAAATTGAAATATTGAAAAAGTTAGAAACTTTATATCAAGAATATTCAACATATCAACATTCAACAGATGTTTTATTAAAAAATTCCAAAAAAATTCATCAAATAAACAATAATCAATTAGCAGTAACCAAAAATGAGTGTATATTGAATAATAATGCTGTTAATTCAACTGTGAATGAAAATTTCGATCAATATGAACATTTAATTACGCTAATGTTCCACAAATTATTGAAATTACCAATGATTGAAGTTAAACAAATGCATTTAAAACCGACGAAACACAATCCAATTTAAACATGATAACTAAATTATATGAGTATTCATATAGTTTTAGACTGTCATCGATTAAAAGACATTAAATTACGAGACTTGAAAAATTAAAAAATTTAGAAATTAATTTTTTCTAGTGTTTGATATTTTTTTACTCTATCTAATTGTACATTCATATATATATATATATATATATCGAAAAAGATAATAGAATTGAAACAAAAACATATAATTATATCAGAGGAGACAGAATATCATTCCAGCTAGTCTGTTTACTGTTATTATCAATTTTATGCACTGGATAAACCGCAGATTACTGAAGAAATGAAATTTGTTTACACATCATCAGATAGCCTACAGTATCTAGTACCGGGATCCAATGTTATTTGGTCCTTATCGAAGAGGTAAGAAGGTTTTTAGAAAAGTTTTCTGAAAACTTTAAAAAGCTGACTTTTCGAAAACATTTTACTTTTCAATAAAAAAAAACAAATCCAAAAGTATTTTCAATAAAGCCAGTGAATAGAGCAAACATTTCTGATCAAAATGAGATATCTTCAAACTCTGAATGATCTTCTGATCAAGAGTTATGAGAGTTTTGCTGAAAGCCCTGAAACATGCATCAGATACTGGCGCCGCCATATCTCGAAAGCGCTTTTTACTACAAATACGAGTTCATCGTTTTATGTATGCTTAATTTTTGTACACTACATCGAAAACTGCGAATATCCTAAACTCTCACATTGTTCTATAAACAAGGTGATAAAAACACAACTGTCAGCGGTAAAATTTTCGAAAAAAAGAAATCGTTAAATAATTAACATAATAGACGTATTCCGTGCTTACTCCACAAAAACTTTTTTTCTTAGACGTAAAGTAATGTAACACATTCAATACATGACAGGTCAATATCGAGGCACCTCGAGGTTTGAAGGTATCTAAAGTCAAAATTTGGACTCGACAGGAGCTTTTTTCGAGGGGTTGTAATATGACTTAATGGAAACTGGAATCTCGGAAAACTCTTAGAACTACATGTCAGCAAATTCTGGGTAAAAATACATCAACTTTTTTCGATATTCTGTCTCTAGAAAATTTGTACTTAATTGCATCTTTGCGTTCACCTTTGACAACAGGATGAAAAAGAGGGGGACATCCTGAAAAGAGATTGTTTCGCTAGGATTGCAAGAAAGACAGTAAAAAAGGTGATCAAGTAACTATGGCATTCCTGTTCCCAACAAATATCATGTCCATGTGTTAGTGGCTCATTGGGAAAGGAAACATATGGTTATTCCGAGATCGCAACACGATCGTCTTAGATAACAGTAGCATTAGTAATTATACTGGATTACAGATGAAATTTGAATAGAATTTAATGTGTTTCATATACAGAGGTATGACAAATGCTTAAAATACATCTTTTTTTCCGTTTCTGTTCTTCTTTGTTATACTGAGTAACTTTGTCTAAATGACTAACATAAACCCTGAAGATAGACTAATGAATGACTCAACTCCATGAATTTTTAACACATTAGTATCATGATTAAAACTTTGATTGTTACTAAACATTTATAACAGAATTCGTGAATAAAAGTATAAAAGAGTTAAAAATAAGTTGATAACTGTCGAAAGACTTCTGCTGAAAAGTGGTTAATATAACATGGAGTAATTTTAATCACTTTTCGAGTAATAAATAACTAAAAAGGTCTATTTGATTGAATATCGCCATTTTTTTGGTTTTGTGCCACAAGGGTTTGACCTTGTTTGAAAATAAAAACGTGTAAGAATAGCATCGCGTATTGATTATTTTTGTCATAATTTTTTCAAACTTGAATTTTTCTAAGAACGTCACTATTCACAAACTACATGTATTTTCAAGGTTACGTTCAATATGTCTTCTACAGATCCTCATGATTCATTCAATGAGTTCTGATTATTTTATTTCCTGTGTAAGTATAGAAAAAAAAGCGAAAAGAATCTAAGCGACAATGTTTGTAGATGAGTCATATAAAACTAGGGTCTTTAGTAACACTCATTCAGAAACAAACTGAACGTCATTTTACTCTTCACCTTAAGGTAGGAACTGTTCTATAGTAATACTTCGTAATATAGCATAACTTCTGATACTATCGACACGATTAGAAGAGTATATATTTCGGAATGAACAATAAACAACTTTAATCTATAATAAAAATCAGAAAAGTAAGTGTAGATCATTTACAGTTTTAAGAACTCGAATTTACAGCAAAAAATTATGGTAAAAATCACTTGTAGTGCACAATTTCAAAAGTACTGTTTTCGTGAGAAATTTCACTAAACGAACGAAATAACTCAATTTTTATGACTTCATTCCGCTACAGTTGTGATCAGTTAAACGAGTTCTACTGTAAACTTAAATATGAGTAAAGGTTATGTGAATAGAAAAATATTTTGATAAGAATTTGTCAAGTTCCACACGGAAACAATAAATCAATATGTAGAAATAGTTGCTTTCTTGTCATCACTCCTTACACTTCCTATATAGAATTTTACAGTTAACGATGTCTTTTGAATACAGCGAATCGTGTTGATATGAGCACTACAATATTTTATTTAATCAGTGGACAAAATACAGGTAATAATGAAAAAATTTTAATAGGAAGTAAATATTAATTCATAATATTCATTCATACATATCATAAATGATGTATTTTCTATAATAATGTTTAACTATAAGGCTATAAAGCAAACGATAAATATATTACGTGATATGATGTCACCGATTGTCGCCATCTGTTCGAAAATATCTAGTTTTATTTATATTTCAGATACTTGATAAATATGAAACAATTAATAACTCTGTTAATTTTCGGTCATAGTTAGCGCAACGAGAGTAAAAGCGATCAACTATTTTTGGCTCGAAATGACCATACCTTGTAAATCTTTCGTGGAAACATCAACTGTGTCATCCAACATGTTCTTACTCCTAATTCAGTTTTTTTATGACATTTCAGATCTTAATTTACTTAAACATCATGAAAATAGACACACGTTATGTTTACCTACTATCCATTCTTTTGATATCAAATGTAATTAATAGTGTGATTTTTTGCATATTCTTAGTCCTTTTTTCTTTTAGCATCTAAGCAATTGATTTCTAATTATACAATTAAAGACAATGGACATTTACATGTTTTTGTTTCTTCTAGGGAAATGCAGGTTTTTCATGGAAAAGTTGTAATTCAGCAACCGATCCTTTAACAGTAATATCATTAACCGTTGAACCAGATCCCATTGTGTTGTCAAAAGAAAACTTAACATTGTCGCTAATAGTTAATTCTACAAAACAATTGTCACCTCCGATTCCAGTAAGTAGCACTGTCTATTAGATCATTTTTTTAATCTTCTCATTGATCGAATATATTGTTTTAGATGGCATTGACTATTGAAAGGAAGACGGGATTCTTTGGGTTATCTTTTAAAATACCGTGTGTCAATAATCTTGGCTCCTGTACAACGGCTGATGTTTGTGAAATGTGTTTACAATATCAAAAACAAAACCAAAACTTATCTTGCGAATGTCCATTCAAAGTGGTACATGTGTATCTCTGCAACCATGAAAGCCATATGTAATCTGTTATTTCTAATGTTTAGGGTCTACACACATTTCCAAAAACAACCATTTTACTTGGAAAAGACATTCCTAATTCATTTACTGGTGGTTATAAAATAAAAGCTGATTTTACATCGAAAGAAGGACATGCTGGATGCGTTCAACTTGAAATCAAAATAGTAAAATGAATTACTTTTTTTTATGACATGAATAAATAAACAGCCTACTTTTTTTTATATATTTTTATCTCATGTAAATTAATTTATTTTGATGATGAATAGAAACTGCCTAATCATTGGGTTTGTCATGAACATGACTATACACGTTAGTGTTTCTTCCCGCTTTCTTGAGCTAGAAAGCGCAATTCGAAGTGGTTCTGTTCGAATCAAGGTTGACTCGATAATTTGAGTATATTCATCATAAAGTGAAGTGGTATAATAGATAACAAAATAATACTTTAATAATAAGGACTTAGCGCATTGGTACACTTGAGGCAATTAAAAAGAAAATCGCACATGTACACTGAAAAAAGAGGCATTTTTGAAAAAAAAAATGCACTTCAGGCGCGCCAAATGCGACTTCATTTTTTATCAGTAAGATGGAATTTCCATGTAAGAGACACGTCACCATGCCTTATGAAGGCGGCTAGATTCCAGTTTTATGCACTCAGTGTCTGTGTGGGACATTGTGGATGCTTAGTCATGGCATTTTGGATGCGTTCTCCCGTGTAAATTAAGTGCATTTTTGGTGTATAAAGTAGGGCATCCCCACTGTCGTTAAAGCATCCATGATGCGTTAGATACACTGGGAGGCCATACAAAAGCGGGCTACCACGAAACACGTGCAGAAAAGAGACGAGTAAGTCTATCTAGAGGATAGACAGAATGTTAGTTTTTCTACTTAGATATAGATGGGTTAGGAAAAAGGGCTCAATTGCTTGTTAGTTATGGGATTTTTAACTTCCAAATATATCTGAGTGTATGTATAGGAACAGAATGAGCCAATAGCCTAAATTAATAGCCAAACTATCGTTTTTACTCCGGTTTACGGTTCCACATAAACCTGGTCAGAAATCATTGGATTTCCCTCACTTCAAAAATATTATAAAATGAAAGCACCTTGTTAGTGAATAACTAATCTGATGTTGCTATGTTGAGATCTTTTCTCTTCTGATGATAAAATATATATGAAATGTTCGATCTTACAATGCTATCATAGAGAACATAAGGTCATAATACTGTTCAATATACAATGTTGAACTGAATATATCTAAACACGATTTGACTGCATTTAGCTATATTTAGTATTTCCTAATCTCATTTCAACTTTATTTCTTTGCAAAAATATATTTAATAATCGAAGATAATATATATATTCTCTTAATACAACTCGACAGTGGGAAATATAATTACACAAATATGAATTTTTCTATCGTATCCAGCATCTTTCAAATTAATACGATATAAAGACTAAAACCCTTTTTTGAGCTGAAATGAGATTAGGAAATACTAAATATAGCTAAATGCAGTCAAATCGTGTTTAGATATATTCAGTTCAACATTGTATATTGAACAGTATTATGACCTTATGTTCTCTATGATAGCATTGTAAGATCGAACATTTCATATATATTTTATCATCAGAAGAGAAAAGATCTCAACATAGCAACATCAGATTAGTTATTCACTAACAAGGTGCTTTCATTTTATAATATTTTTGAAGTGAGGGAAATCCAATGATTTCTGACCAAGTTCTTTCATTAGTTCATCTATTTGATTTGAATCAATCTAACATACTTAAATAAACAAGCAACAGAGTAGAAATCGTCTGTTCAAGAGTATGATAGTGACCAAAGAAACAATGCAGATAAGACACTGTATCTCTCCATTTCTTTCTCTTGCTAGAGATGTCGTGGTTATGTATCAGGCTAATTCTGTGTCTAACAACAGTCTCGATGCATTTTCGTTACCTTGAATGTAACTACATGATTTATCCGTGGCTGATGGACGGCTAGATGTCTTGACCGTAGCTACTGCATTGTACGTTTTTGATGTATTAGTGATGTCTATCAAATGCATCTAAGCTATTTTTTTTCAAAAAAAGCAGCTACTTAGAGATATTTTTTTGAAGACATTAAGGTGACTAACGGTAAAAAGATGAGAAAATGCACATGGCGTGCCTTCAAAACACACTGCAGACGCATTTTGAAGCCAGCCGAGTGATTTATCAAGACACTTTTTTTTGACAGTGTATGAATTCAATATTTCTAAAAAAACTTTCATTGCGATGACTTGATATTGAAGAAAACAGCACGAAAAATCTATTTTAGAGTTCGTTTTAGTAGTTGAGAACCTGAGTAACAAACAGTTTTCTTGTTACAGTTAGGATATTGGTATATTTTTTTAATCGATTAATGAACGATAAGATAAACTAGTAGAATATTTAATGATAAAGTATAATGAACGTTTTTGTCAATTCTGTGCAAGTCCCAAAGCGTAAAATCATTCACTAAATGGAGAAGAATGATATATTTGGAAGAAAATGATGAAAATTCAAATATATAGACGATTTATAGTTTCCTCTTTTCCTCTATGTTGAAACCGGGCAAAAGAGTTTTGATTTATCGAAAAAAAGGAGAATTATTTATCAGAGGATTAACAAGTTAATCAAATTCATAAGTTTTATATATACTATACGAAAATGTTATTGTAGATGTTTGTGCTACATTTATTTGGAGCTCATATTGTGACCGTCTAGTTTTCGCTTCCCCATATTTGCATAGGTAAGTGAAAAGCAATTTGTTTATCAGAACTACTTTACATATTCTAAGCTCTATAGATTATCGATCCATAGGCACGAGGATACGTTTTTAAGCTTGTCGAGTAGATGTACTATAAAAATCGTCCTCGTGCTGAATGAATGTTCAATAGTTCTGTACAGGCAGACATTCATTTCCTTTCATTAAATATTTGTCAGAAAATAAAGTATGACTTTGAAATATTTCTCTGGAAATAATCAAAAATAGATATATCGTACCAGAATGAAAGTACTGTAATAACTACGGCACTAGAGATCGTTTCATTAATATTCTTAATTAGTATCGACTTACTTTTAGTCAAAAGTTGACTTAATTTTTGATGTTTTATCAAAAATCCTAAATATTGGTGACTCAATTTTGTCTTAGCTCTATGATACATGATCTTGAGTTAAGCATTGACTAAAAATATTTTCAGAATTGTTGTGAATCAATGTTGTGAAGTGACGCATCAAGCCGAACTAAACGTTGACTGAAGTCTGTGCTCAGGTTCACGAACTAAAACTAAAGAAATAATCCTTAAATATCCTAGAATGTTGTTGATGAGATTATTGCCCTTCAGAAAAATTAATGTTTGACTTTTGTGCTCCTGAGTATGAATTAAGACATAGAATATCTTAGTGTGTAAGAACTGTATAATTACTCCTTTTCCTTGTAGTACTATAGTACGCATACGTCGATCATTATGAATATACCATTGTCATCTGTATTTGTGATTTGCCTATTTGTTATATTTTGTTATCAAGCAAATTCGTATGTTTTGCCTTCTGTAACTAGCAAAAAAGGACAGTATTTTTTCAATCATGATAATTTACTACGAAATCGACGCGGTTTTGGTAATCGACGAGCTTCTAATCCATTTTTGTTTCAAATACATGATGAACAACAACCGCTATATAAACAACAATATTTCCTCCCACATGATATCAATGTGGAGTTAGATATATTTAAAAAGATACTTGATGATAATAGAAATACGAATTATAATGGCAAAGGCATCAGTGATGATGATTCTGATTATCACTCAATTTTAAACACATTTATGGACCCACAATATACACAATATTTTTGAAATGTTTTAGTTTCTCGTGTAAATTTATTATTCATTTTTGCTTCGAAAAAGGTGATTGTTAGAATTCTTTTTGAATAATAAATGGACGGACACTACAGGAAGAAGGACTATATCATCTTAACATTTTCCGCATAAATGACGACATTCAAGAGCAAATGTGTCACTGTCATCACATAATGGTTTATTATCCGCGTTACATATATCATCATTTTCATCCGGTGTACCACAATCAACTAAAATACAGAAAACATATAAGTTGTAGGCTTTATGAAAGCATCACATTGTATCATCTATGTTACGTACTAGTTTCACATTCTTTTCCAGATGTATAGTCTAAACAAAGACAAAAACATCCCTCTTCTGTCTCTGCTATTCCACCATTTTTACAGTTTAATATACACGGACCAATTAAGGATACTGTTGTTGTAGTTGTAATAGTAGTAGCTAAAACAGAGAATTAACATTATTAGGATACATTTCTTATCCTTCTTCAGAAAAAGAATTGCACCAAAACTCACTTGTGACTGAAACAGTGATTATGCCCACAGTTGTTGTTGTAGTACTGGTTGTTGTTGTCGTACTGGTCGTTGTTGTAGTACTGGTCATTGTTGTAGTACTGGTTGTCGATGTAGTTGCTAAATAAGAAAATGTTCCTTACTTAAAATTGGATTGAAAAACGAATGGTGATATACTATGATGCTAATATATAATCAAATTACCTGGTGCTCCTAGACTGCCTTCGGCTCCAATTCCATTGCATCTATCATTTGAACAGAAATAAGTTTCTCGACCATTATATTGTGACACACTTCCAGGAGTACCACAATCCCAGTAACAACAATGACGATCAATTTTT